AAGCTTAGAAAAAGCGTTCTCCCCAAGTAGGGTAGAGTGTTGTTTTTTTTTTTTCACAAAGAGAGAGGGGGATATTTTTTTGGGGTCACAAACTGTAAAAAAAAAAAAAGAATATGGTGTTTGGGGGCTCGGGACCCACAGAAAAATTTTCTCCCTTAAAGTTTTTTTTTTTTTTTTTTTTTTTTAAAATTTAAAACCGCCCCCCCCCCTCCCCCCCCCCCCAAACCCAAAAAAAAAAAAAAAAAAAAAAAAAAAAAAAAAAAAAAAAAAAAAAAAAAAAAAAAAAAAAAAAAAAAAAAAAAAAAAAAAAAAAAAAAGAAAAGAAAAAGAAAAGATAATAATCCCTGGAAAAATATCCAAGATTCTGTTGCTTGACATAGTTACAGAGAGAGAGTGAGTGAGTTGGATAAATATTGCTTGCTTGCTTATTTTCGTATATATTTATTTATTAACTCCCTTCTCTATTTTAACTTCATCCTATTTCCAACTTCTGGTCTGAACTCAACTCCACAACTCACACTCGCTGTTCAATAATAATAATATTTAGTTTATTTAGTTAACTAGTTGTTTAAATATTTAACCCCGGCCCAACCTTCTTCATCTTCACTCTAACCCGAACCCTTTACTTCTCGTCCTACTCCGCTCTGCTCTCTGCTGCATAGAATATTCCAGCTTCAACAGCTCATCTTACCCACCGCTTCTTCCTCCTCCTGCAGCCTGCCCTCCATCCGCCCAAAAACGTACCCGAACAGCAGATCGGAAACAGAACACGAGATATAAATACAAGAAACAGTACGGAGTAATACAACAACCCATTCCGCCGGCCACTCGAAAGAACCCCGTCGAAGCCTCCCCGCAAACTCGCTGCTCTTGTGTCGCTCAAAACTCCATTTCTATTCCCCCCCCCCCCCCCCGGCGCCCCCCGGCACTCTCCCGGCCCAAATAAACAAGAGCGCCTTTTTTGCGCCATAAATCCCCGTCGATGTGGATCTTCCGAATCTTCTCGTCGGCCTTTTTCCTCACGTCCATCGTCCTCTCGATCCCCCTCGCCTTCGATGTTGGTGGTAGGACCTGTGGCCTGGGCTTCTCCCTCTGCCTAGCTGCCTTCTACTTCTTCTTCTCCCTGCTCAGACTCACCACCCCGTCCCGCTCGTGGATCCGAAACTCCCTGATCGTCGTTCTCAGGTCTACGCAATGGCTTATCGTCCCTGCTTTGCTCATCTGGTCATTGAACCGATTCTCCGTCGATGCCGACGCGGGTGACAGTGGCTCGACTGCTGGCGCCCGGGTCGGATGGCTCGAGCGCACGTTTGGTGGGAAGAGAGCGCAGGATACGTCGATTGTTCGATGGCTATTTGGTGCCGACGGCCTTGTTGAGAATGCTACTGTGGGTGGCTGGGATAAGTTGTTGAGCTGGTCAACTCCGTTTTTCCAACTGGCGGAGGGGTTTTGCAGCTTGCTTGTCATCCAGGCTGCCGGCCAGATCACGAGATGGTTGGTCAATCGAGGTGGGAGGAGCGATAGTTGGATGGTATGTATCTTTCTTTGCCTCGGTTTTTATTCCCTTAATTCCATTTAATCTACATAGGTTACGTTGTTGCATGTGAGAATGGAACCAGAATATGCTGACTTCCTCTGTGTGTCATTGAAGATTGGCCTTCTGGTCATGTCCGCGTCCATAATCTCAAGCTCCGTTTACTTCCTCTGGCGCGTCCTGCAGTTCCCCGGAATTAGCAACGTCGATGCAGCCCTAATCGGCGTCGCCATAACCTGTGCTGTCTTCCTGTGCGCCTGGGGTATCGGCAGTGGTCGAGGAAACCCAGTAGAGAGCTCCCTGCTATTCGCATACGTCGTCCTATGTATCTACCAGATCTTCACAGACTACAAATCGTCGTCCACGTCCACCACTGAACCACCTTCACCCGCCCAGACTCCCGAATTCCCCCCTCTGCCACCTATCATCATGGCTTCCTATACCACGCTCATGCACGCCCTCTCTACCCTACCCTCCATCATCCACGCAGCCTTCAACGTTGTAAGCGCAGCCTTCAGCGCCGTGACCCCCTCGGTCCTGATATCTCTCACCTATCGACTATTCGTCTTCTACGCATCCACGAGAATCATCCCAGCCGTTCGCGAGTCCGGAGCCCGCGCCCTTTCCCAGGAGGCGTCCCTGGATGATTCCGATGGCGCCGGTCGTTTCCTGGGCCTTCTGAGCTGGTTTTCCCCTTCTATTCTCGTCGCTGTCTATACTAGTCTGCTGATGCAGCACTTTGCATCGACTTCCCAAGCAATGGGGGGCAATGGTGAATGGTGGAGCAACCGCGGTGATGGGGCCGGGAATTTCTGGAGATGGATCAATCTTGGTTGCACAATGGCATTGTACGCAGTCGAGCTTTGGATAGGGAAACATGACGATATCGACTCTGGGCTTGCGGGACACTGGAAAACGGATTGAAGAGCGGTCCCCTTATATTTGGGAAACGTGACTCCCTTCTCCTATCCCAAGCCCCCGCAATCCCACCGGTTTATTTCGTTGTTATTCTTATGAAAGCGGCTGGAGGAAGATATGGGCATCGTCTTAGATTTCCTTTTCGTTGTTGTTATGCTCATGATCTCTTCACACACCATCGAGGTGGCTAGCGGGGTTGATTCTTTTTGATAGGGGATATCATACAGAGAAAGGGTGATGGATGGCCTATGCTACAAGCATGTGGTTGGACTACCGCGGAAAATTTAACGCCGATGATAGGAAATATACAGTCAATTACAGGTGTGGGGAGGAGGAGGAGATCCGCTGGGGGGGAATGAAGCTGGCTTTTGTTTTTTTTCACCGCGGTGGAGCGGAGAGGCTCACCTTTACATGCACACACACCCCTTACTCGACTACGAGCAATGCCTCCATATTCAAGACGACTACATACTAAAAACACCTCATCACGGTTGATGCGCCCTCGTTGGATTAAACCCCATGTTCTTATTTCTTCGATCGTCCACGAAGGTTTTCATTTCACTGTTTAGATGGCCAACTTTCGAAATATATGGCTTCAGGCCCTCTACCCACCTATCTATTCATCCGTCTGCATTTCCCCCAAACTCCCCCATTTTTCTTCCTAACTTTACATCCTCCTGCTGCTTCGGAAATTATACCACACATCCCATCGTCCGTCACACCGACACTCATTTCTTGCCCCTCCTCATGCTCTTTGCATCTTCTTTGGCTCTTCCCCCTTTCTCCCCTCCATATGTAACTCCTTCCCCCAACTCCGCACACGCAACGCGACATTAACAAAACCATTTTCTTTCTCATTCTGCAATATCTCCCCCCAAAGCCTCCTCCCTGTTCCTCTATCTTTAACATTTTCCCTACACACACACCGAACCACTCAGGTCGCCCGATATCAATGAGGAAACACAGGAAATGGGGTGAGATCCTTTCGGCCCACTTCACACACTCATAAAGTAAACCCACACCCACGCACGCACGAATACAAAAAAAATGGGCTGTTCAAAACTTCCGTTTTCCGAGCATGTCTGGGAACACCATCCCCGCTTCGTCCAACCTCACCTCACCCCGCCACATATGGTTTCCATCCACACCCCTCTTCCCCGGGCTCTCTCCCGTCAATGCTACCAATACCTACACCCAAACTCATATCATATCGTCACGCAACGCGCCCTATCTGGTCCCGCAAGGCACAAGCCCTCCCCATGGTACGCTTTTAAATATAAGCTACGACGGTTGCGGAACTTGAAAACCTCCGTCCAAAGGAAGGTTGCGGTGAGAGGCACCTGATGATGACGGTGGGAATGAAAGATGAAGATGTTGCGGAAGCATTTTTCCTGTTTGTTCTCCATTACCTGCCGTTTTCTCAGAGTATGGTCCTTTCCACTTCCATTTTTCCTTTCCTTTCCCGACTTGAAAAATCTAATTCTCTTTTACTCTTTATTTTTCCTTTTATCTTTTCTTTTTGTTTTGTCCCCCCATCTATCATTCTCAACTTTTTGTTTTTATCTTAAACCATTTTTCTCTCTTTTCCATTTTCTCTTCTCCTTTTCTTTCTCTTTTCTCATTTATGTATCCCTATTCCTATCGGAACCACCAAACCACCACCCCCATGACTATGACAAAGATATGAAATTTTATATATAATGTAATGTATATATCGGCGAATAGTAGTAAAGAGCAGATGTGATTTCAGAATCAGAGATAACTAGTTAACTATACATCAGATTCAAAAAATTCGGAAGTGCAAAAAGTAATACAGTTAGCAGAGATAGTTAGGTGAATACTTGGTG